TGGGATGCGTGATTAAAAAAATATTGTTCACTTATTCGGATAAAAGTCTGTGTTTTTAACGAATAGATGATAAAACTTATCGAAAAATACCATATCGATTTAAAGATCATCTTGTTTGTGAAAGATCTGAAGATGAATTATGTTCCCATGCATTTATTTCAATTTAGAAATTTTGGGATAAAAATTGACCGGGGCTTAGAACTATCTTTTCTTCAATATGATTTTAATTTAAAATAAATATTTCGGTGATTATTCATCGGTAATCAATGTCAATGATCATTTTTTAAATGGAATAAGAACAAAATGAGGAAGTTCACAAAGAAGTATCATCAATATCATTGTTGTTCATTATAGTCTTCAAACAATAAACAACGAAAAATACAGAATTTCTGATATTGTCTCATATAGTGAGATATATAAATATTTATTATTTTAGTTTAATGATATTCATTAAATTGAATTGTATATTGCATCTTTTTTTACTGTTCAACCATAATTATCTTCATCTACTTCCAATACTAAAAAAATGAATGAATAATATAATTGAAGAATTAATCGAATGTTATTTCATACCTAAGAACATAACCTCACCGACTAATTTCAAAAGGCGTGGATTCAATCAATAACAAGCGATCGATCATATTACGTTGAATTTCTTTCGATAAAAACTAAAGATGAATGAATATGTCATGCGAGGGAAATTAAATAAAATTCTTTTTGTTTTTAGTTTAATGAAGAGATATTCGAAAAGTTATTTCTTGAAAACATTTTACCGTAAAATTTAATTATTCGAAATAAAAACATGTTTTTGTTAAATATATTTTTGACATATAAATATATAAATAACGCTAATTTTTGTTGATTCTCTGAAAGGAAAAAATAAAAAAACAAAAATAGAAAAATATTATGTTCTACTTAATTTCTGTTAATATATATATTGAGTTAAAAACTAGTTTCGAATCAAATCATATGAAAATCAAGTAATGGATTCATCAGATGAAAATCAAGTTATGAATTCATCAGATGATTTTAGTAAAGAATTTATTCGTGCTGATACAAATCATGATGGAATTATTGATGAAAGAGAATTTCGATCATTTCTTGGACCAGTAATACAACTTCAAAAGAATCAATCACCACAATTTACTAATGAAGATATTCAAGCATTTAATGTAAATTATTTAAATAAATTTAGAATTTATTTTTATCTTTATTTTTATTTTAGTCAACACCTGTAGTTCAAACATTAATTTATGAAATTGGTCTTGATGTTGCTGTTTGTGGTTTTATAGATGATCCAATAAAATTTGAAAGTTATGTTACAGGTAATGATAATACGAATAATCATTCATATGGTCTTGGACCAGATGTTGGAATTGGTGCACCTGATATTGCACCAAAATTAATTCAATATGATGCTGCTGGTGCCATGTTTAATTATGCTGATGTTAATCATGATATGAAAATTGATCCCACAGAATTTAATTATTTAATGCGTTCTATCTAACACTTTTTACTTTATCTTTAGAGATCACTCTATTACCATTCTTCTTTCTTCTATGAGTATTTGTTGAAATTGTTATGTCACTTTATGTTTTACTTCTAATATTTGCGCATGAAAAAAAGTAAAAGAAGATCTAATATAATCTTCTTTCTATGATATTAATTACAATTCAGATTCAAAGAATGTATTAGAATTTTCTTGTTTTCTCTTAGTTTTGTCTTGTAATATGTCTACAATTGTTATATGTAAAAAGTCATGTGTTTTTTTTGTCCCAATAAGAGAGCAATTAGGTAACTTCTACTCATTCATTAGAAAAGAAGAATCTTTTCTAATAATTTAACAGTTTTTTTTGTCTTAAATAAATTCTATCTGAAATATTTTTATAAAACTAATTAGACATATTTATAGATAATAAATAGTTAAAGATAATCTCATATCCTCTTCTATTAATTATATAGAAACTGTTTTACTTGTCTTATTTGATAATAGTCAATCTTTGTCGATCAACATTTACAAATTTAAATGAAAAAAAATGTAAGAACGATGATATAACATTTAACAACATACAGTAGGGTGCAAAAAAAATTGCCGATAGACTTTTAAAAGTTCTTCTCACAGAAGCATGAAATATTAAAACTTTTTTTATGTTGTTATAATGCACAGACACTATACTCTATGACTACATAGATCATTAGAAATTCCTCCCTCACTGTGAATTTTTCTAAGGCAATAACTTTCCGTCCTTGGAAGCTATCAAAAAACTTACAAGTTATGCATGAGTTTTAGTACACTTTCCGTCTTAAAATCTTTTCGGTTCATTGATATCCGAACGTTTTTCAGTCATATCAGTTGATTAAATGATTTGGTAGTACAATTTAACTAGTTTGAGACTCATGCTATCAAGCGGTCGGATAGTAATTTTATGCACATAAGGCTGACAAATTACTTTGTTAGCCTCACCATGGCACGATGGTAGACTCCTCAATTTTGAAAATTTTATTATAACTATTGTAAACAAGAGTCATCATTATACAGTAGTTTTAAAAACCTCCCCAGCAGTCTTTGCTTCAATAATGTAACATGATTTATTGGTCAGGTTATATACAACTGGTGCCTGAATTATGGATCATTCTTACGAAGCTGCATGAGAGTTTTCGATCAATACTAGCCTCATTTAATTCATAAAGCTAGTGCCTAACGTCCACCAATAACTTCAGAAAAATTGCTCGAAGAATGTATGAAACAGCGATTAAAAAAGTTTATCTACTAAACGGCAATTTTTTTTGCACCCTACTGTATATTGAAAAAATTATTTCATCGTTTCTCATAATATGGATAAAAAGCAAATTAAGAATTAGATTCATTACATTGTCAATTCCACTTCGAAAGTAAAATATAATATAATACGAAATCAATCGACATAACCGTTTAGCTATATGTTCGTGTCATCTATTGTGTAATTTCGGTGTGGAAAAAGAAAGAATAAATCTACATTCACCCTTAATATTAAGATGATTGATTTTAGCTTTGAAGTTTAGTGATGATGGAAAAATTGATACTATTGAAGAAATATATCTCAATACGTAGGATCGAAAAAGTAGTTAGATTGATTTATTTTAAAATAAGATTGAGAAAAACAAATATTTTATTTTAGTTAAAAAATCAAGAAGATTTGAAAAAATATTTTTTTCTAAATATCGATTCAGAATTGAGTAATTAGATACGATATATAACATTTTTTATTATTTAGTAGTTTACCGTCTTAATAATTTGACATCTTCTCTTCTTCTTTTTTCTCTAGATATAACCAGCAGTGTTACTTTGATTAGAGGAAAGAAGTAATTGTAATAATATAGTAAGTGATAAGAATTGAAATGTAGAAGAGAATTTATCTTTTATGAATTGTGTATGACATGAAATACAAATAAAAATACGTTTTTTCTTTTTAAACACACAATTTAAGAACTGTCAAAAACAGATTCAAGAAAAATATATCATTTATATGAATTACAGTAAGTGAGAAGAGAACAACACAGGCTTTTTTAACAAGTTAATATAATTAATATTAATTTCATCGAAATTTGTCAAACTATTAATGATATCTATCATCTTTAGTAGAAACCTATAAACGCGAAAAAAGATGAATTTTATTTATTAAAAGATATATCATTAAATATAAATTCTATAGATCATATGAACCTAGAAGGAAAATTTGGTTTTTCGCAGAAGTGCATAGCAATGAAAACGTTTTCAAAAAAATGAATTTCTTTTCTAAAAATAGTATTCATTTTTTTTAACTATGACATAGGAGTACCTATAATATTGTTATCCCCTGCATATCAATAACAATTCTAGTTTTGACTCAAGCTCTATAGAAAAAGACTAACAGTTCATCATATGAGAATTTGAATAAACAGATCATTAAGTTTTTTTTCTTATTAGTCTACGAAAGTACAAGTGTAATTCATATTATTAGAGAATATTCAACAGATCTTCTTCTAACCTTTATTCAATTTTTGTATTCAAATGAGTAAATTCTTTCTTTGTTTAATAAAACTAAATCATTAATCTTATCTAGATTATCTAACACGTGTATAATATCATATCAAAGTCAAATTAAAATATTCCTTTCTTTCTATATAGATATTAATACAAGAGATCATTCTTAGATTTTGTTAATAATAATACAAATATTCTCCTAAATCTACAATAGGCGATACTCAATTGTTGTATAAATGAGAAAGAAATTTACATAGACTAATAATATATACGAAAACTCTCTAATTAAACATAAAGATCATCGTAGCTTTCATCTCATAGATTTCGAGATATGATTATGTCCTAATTATTTTCTTTCAAATCATAATTTATACGAGCAGAAAGTACTTAATATGTCATTAATAAAGAATAGTAATCTTAATTGGTCTTTATTATAGACTAGAGTTTTTTTTTCCATAATGATGCTCTAAAATAGTACAAGCATGTGATTTATTGTCGAGAAAAATAATCTCTTTATACTTTTTCATCATAAAGTATTCCATTTTCATGAGATATATAAATGACTTAAAATAAAATAGATTTAAATATCAATAAAGCGTTGACAAAAAACCAACTGATTTTTATTCGTAAGAGATAATTCAACTATTACGATTTCATAATATTTTAAATAGAATTAAATTAGTTTCTACATATAAGGTTTTCTTTATGGATATTTCTATTGTTTATTGAAATATTTTAATTATTCTTTAGAAGCATTTCCTCATTTTATTAATTGAATTCAATCCAAACTTCTGTTATGATTAATGATCAAACAAAAATCAATGGTTTTATACTTAATTCGGTTTCTCTTGGATTTAATATATTTGCATGTTTGATATCATGTATAATTTTTTTTCTTATTCTATATCATCTTTATTATAATCATGTAAAACGTGAAGATAAAATAAGCGTTGTTCTTTGTGGTCATATCTATTTGGAAATTTTAATATATTCATTAATGTTATCATCAATGAATACTCAATCAATATTGGGTCATTTGTATAATCAATCTTTTAATTCATCGTCGTGTATTTTTTCAGGATATTTGGCTATTATATTACTCGGTATGTTATACTTGAATTTTCTAAATCAAGTAATTCGAAAGAATAGAAATTAGAAAAAATGATAACCTTTTCTAAATAATTCTAGGCATTCTATCGTCTTATTCGAATTGTTCATTCTCAAAATCGTTGGTTTCAATCTTTGAAATTATATGTAATTTTACCAATGATAGAAATAATAATGTTAACATGTATTCTTCTATGTATTCTTCTACCTTTGAATGGTGTAACATATTTACCAAATGATCATTTTTGTTATCCAACATTGACAAATATTCCTAGTATTCTTTCAACAGCATTTGTTGTTTATATAGGTCCATTTTGTTGTATAACATTTATTTATATGCATATAACAAGATTTATTCATCACCAAGGAAATATTCAAACATTAGTAATTAAACAACGACAATCTCGAGATTTACTTATTATTAAGCGTATTTTAATAATAGTTAATTTATTACTTATTCTTGGAATACCTGGAATGTCTCTTATAATTATGTTTATAATAACAGGTGAAGAGAATCCATTACTTGCTCGAATTGTATTGTTTCCAGTTAGCATATCTCAAATGGGATTGAGTGTAGCATTACTTTTTTCAATTCCACAATTGAAAAATATTGTTTTAAACTTACGACCAACAAACACAGTGATGCCTGTCAATCAAACCGTGCGAGGTACAGTACATATAAAAACGATTACTGGTACTCAATAGTGAAATCAATCTTATGAATATATTCTTATATATTTATTAAATGCGAATTCCTTTAACTTTTTTAAGATCTTTTATTTTTATGTGAGTATATAAGAGAAATTATTCTTGTTTATTTATGACTATAAAATTCCTATTGATTATTATTGTTGTACGTATGATTCACAGTGAAATCAATATGTTGTCATACTCAGTTTTGTATTGTTTATTTTCGTTTATTAATGTGTAAAAATAAATCAAGTTCCAGTATTGATTAAACTATGTTATTAAATTTCTAAGTTACAATAACACAATAATAAAAAGCATAGAATAATGATTATGTTAAATGTTAAATGTTTTATTCTAAAAAAATGTAAGTTTGTATACTTTTGAATATTATTAATAAAAGATGCATAAGTGATAATTACTCATTTTTGAAATTTATTTCATGGAATTAAAAAACTGAAAGATAAATCGATAAGATTTTCTATCGTGAAATAGAAATTGAGATGAAAATCTGAATTGACCTTCTCTGCTATCTTCGTTTTCATAGTCATTGTAAAAATGCATAAATTCACAACATAAAATGTTTTATCGTATTTTTCAGTTTTAGTTTGAGAGGAATTGCGCTGAAAACGTTGTTTCTTAATATGTATGAATTAAACATTTACGTGACTGTATATTATTTTATTGAATTCTCATATAATATATTCAATATTTTGTTTAACTTTACTCAAAAACTAATTAACATGAGACTAGCAAAAGAAATGTTTTGAATGTATTTATGTAAAGGTAGATTTAAACGATTCCATCTTATAGAATCATCTATAAATACCCCTGATAAAAATATGTGACCTATCCTCGAATTTAGATTTGCGAGAAAAAAATATAGCTTTTTTTAGTCGTGATCCTATTCCACCTGTGTCTAGATAAGAAAGTTTTTTTATTTTCTTCTTTAAAAGTTCACTGAGGTTATAATTTCATTCTTATTTATCAATAATGAACTATAATAGTATAATCAACATTTGCACTAATATTGACAGCTCGTGAAGTGATGCTGAAGTTATCTAACCAAATAGTCAATTGAAATGTTGAATTTAGTTCATAATGAAATATGAAATCATTGGAAAAACTATACACTCGTGTATCTTGTGTGGAATAATTTGATATAATTTGATCATTGAATAAACAACCATATAAATATTTAGTTTTTCATCTAATATACTTCTATCTAAACTTCATTGGTATGTATTTATTATTGAATTAACATTACAAAATTTCTTAGTCGTAGCTAATACTCAATGAGATTTTTCTAGAGAAACATTAGATTATATCAGTTCTTACTGATTAACTATGATATCATATAAGTTTCATCAAAATTTAAATTTTCGAACATATTCTAAGAAAAAAATTTCTCTTGCTTACACGTATGTTTATTCTACAAAAAACAATTAAATATTCTTCATTTCCTTTGACGACACCATTTGCCTTTCATATTATTCTTCATATTCAATCATTCATGACTATTCTCTTTCTCTTTCTTTTTATAATATAACACGCTTGACATTATGCAAAACATGTGATTGCATCAATCTATCTTCGCAACTGCTATACAAATCAGGTAGAAGTTGAAAGGTGAAAATATATGGAAGGTATTTTTTTACTAACAAACAAATTATTTTTGTGATAAAATTCGTAACATATAATCTAATTGATATTATTCTTATAAGATTCAGAAAAATATTTGAAATTAAGTCAACAAAAATAATTCTATTAGAAAATCTATATCATCATCGATTTTCTAATTTGAAATTAACAATAAAAAATTCTTTATCAAATTTGATTGTAATAGTACATACAAATGAATATCATTCGTTTTATATAACTTAAACAAATCTATTATTCTATAAAATATTATTATTAAATAAATCAAAGGTAGACGAATAAAAAAACATTTTATTGATTTGATTTTTCTAGATATGACATAATTCTATTACTCATTATATTCTGAATAAAAGAATATTTAAAAATGTATTTTCTTATGTAAAAATAACACGTTGATTATTTTTTTCTTTTTTATCTGTTAGATCATGCTAGAATACATCCCCTACGAGAATCCTTTTTTTTTTTATTATATATACAAATAATTATTTATAAAGTGAACCAATTTTAAAGAGTTTTTGGGGTCATTCAACTTATGATCCGTATCCATTGCTTAAAAAGTAACTCTGGTAGTCGATGCATTTTAACATACTCTTTCAAATAAAAGTATATAAAATCTAGAGAATGCACTATTTTACTGAGTATCTCAGGTCATTGAAGTTGTTCTAGATTATTTTTGACCTATTATATACAAGATTCGGTTAAAATATCGAAAACATTTTCTTCGTCGTGTATCTTTTTCTTTCTTTTCTTTTCGTTTTTCCTAGTGATACATTCATGTGTTTTTTTTTCATTTCTTTTTTTTTACTACGTATTTTGATATTTTATCTGAAGATATATTTTCTAATTAGTATAAAACGTTTTTTTCTTTCTTTTTCATGTGTATGAGCAGACATCTAAAACGAAGAGGTCAATTGCTACGGTCAGTAACTTCATATAATGTGTATATACTTTTTTCTTTATAGATGATATCATACCGATGTCTACTTTGTCGTTACATTTAATATCTCTTTCTTTTTACCTCTATGGATATATCTATGTCTGCATTTTTTTTACAATGTGATGAGGAGTATATGTAGAACAGATGACCTATGACATATTTTCTAGACGATACGTTAAGATCTAGTTTAAGTTTTGTATATGTTTTTTTGTGTAAAAAGCAATAAAATAAATACGATCAGTCGACCAATATGAAATCGAGATAGGATTAATCGGATTCCTCATGTAACTATTCTATTTAATCTCGATCGATGAGTTTTAAAATACTTTTTCTGATAGTCTACTTCTCTTTTTATTCTTAGCAAGTATTATTCGAATATTTTTCGTTTATTTTTCAGTATATCTATTTAATAGTAAATGAGAAAAAATAATATCTACTTGATAAATCATATTTTTTTTTAAAGAAACGTTTCGTTAGTTAGTTTTGATTTGTTCAGTTAAAGTTAGAATGAAAATTGTATAGATTTCGAATTAATCTCATTTCTCTGAACTCGTGTAACTTGATTTTATTAGAAAGTACTTACATTTCAATACATTATTATTGTAACTGTTCGATCACTTTAACTAAAAAAATGAAAACCTCAAATAGAGTTCGACTTGTTAAGAGAAGAAAAAAGGAAAATAATGATTTTTATTTCTTAATGTAATTGCGAAAATCGTAAGGATTGACATTATAGGTTAAACATGCGTAGGATAAGAAACAAAAAAAGTAGGACATAAAAATACGTTTAGTGGAGCATGACGATTAAAAATCGGTGATTACTTTAGAAAAATAAAAATGATTGAACATTAAATCTAATCATATAGAATGTTTAATTATAGGAAGTTTAGTAATGAATAGAATGGATCGTATTATATATTCATGAAAAAACATTTTGATTTACATATTTTTAGATCATTTTGGGAACGATAAATATTTCAGAAGTTTATAGGAAAATGAAATGTTTTATTTTGAAATTATTATCAAAAATGATTTTCTTCGTTTGATCATTTTGTATATTCGATCAATAACAAACAGTATTGATTTGCAATTTTTTAATTAAGTTAAACATGGTATTCATATGAGGGTTATGCATCACTAATCAATAGAGAGAAAAATATAGGTAAAAACACATATTGGCTTCGTTGTGCTTGTGTTATTTACATTTTCTTGTATTAAAAGTCGATTTATTTATCTGTTCTTTTTCATTTGTGAGTAGCTTTGAATATTATTAACGCTAAGTACTTCTTTCATTATTTTATTTATTCTATATAATAGCTAATTAATATCTTTTCACACTGCTCCCACAAAGAAATCAAAAACCACTAGATGATATTTTAAAAGAAAAATTTATTTGTACAAAAATCGGTGTTCATCTAAATAGCAGTATAGTGATGATGATTTATAGTCTAGAATGTCCTTTGACAAATGTTTATGATATTTCATTCTTATAATAATATCTTTTAATTCAAACGTTGTTTGTAAATATTCTTGGTGATAAGGTTCTTCAGAGGTTGAAGGTTACGGACTTCATAAACAATCAAAAATCAATAAAATAAAAATATATTTAAATAAAGTTCTTATTGTTCTATAACACGTTAGTAATAATAATGTAAAAGTATGTAAATAGAAATAAATATCTAAATAAAATGCTTGCTGTTTCATAACATATTAATACTAATAAGCTAAAAAATATTTAAAAAAATTAAACAAAATACTCTCTCTTCTAATATTATCGATTTCCCATAGATGTCGACCTTTAGTCTTGTCCTTGTACATATAACATAAATATTGTTAATACCTCCTCAACAATATTTTCGTATAACGAAGTGCGCACTCAACTGAATTCTAGAATTTTAGCATAAATATATAGGAAATGATTTGATATTGATACTCATAATCATTAAAGTGTTAAATATAAAACTAAACATTTCTAAACAAAAACTTTTGCCTTCAATACTAACAATCAATTACTTATCATTACACAGCATATATACAATTTGTTGACGTGAAAGAAAAACTCTAAAATTATTTTGTAATTTATTGTTTTCAGTATTCTTTCAGATGCCACGATCAGCTCTTATAACCGGCTCTACAGGCTATATTGGTATTCAAGTATTTTCTAATTTGCTACGTCAGAAGACTATTGATCGAATAATCTGTGTAAGCAGACATAACGATCAGGAAGCGTTTTGGTCATCTATTCAATCTCAAGCAAAGAAATTCCAAGTTTCTCTAAATATTTCCGAAGCTAAAGAAAAAGTTGAAGTCGTCCGTATTGATCTTGACAAGAATCACGGTCTAATATTACCGGCTCTTGAGAAATATAAACAATCGGTTAGTACAGTACATCATTTGGCATGTGATTCAACGTACGGACATC